TATAACAGTTGCCTACAGAAAGATAAATAAGATACACTCAGTTAAATGACTGAAATGATTGGAGGCTAAATCTCCTGCCTATTGCTTCTCCTCCTTGTGTCTAGGGCTCCAGTCGATAATTAGACTTGCAGTCTGAAAGCAGAATAAGGGAGGAGAGGGTGACCTTGAGCAAGGCACTGTCCCTCAGGGTACAAATCCTTCAGAGACACTTTTACATGCACACATCTGGCTCCACACACACAGCAGCTGTTCCCAGACACAGCTCCTGGCCCACAGGAGCCCTGGCAGCCTCCTCCATGCAAGGGCTGGCACTTCAGACCTCGAATAGTGGAATCACAGAATCACAGAGCCCAGGTTTGGGTTGGAAGGGACCTCAGAAGATGATCCAGTTCCAGCCCCCCTGCCATGAGCAGGGATATCCTGCCATGAGACTGGGCTGGTTCCACTAAACCAAACTGGTCTCCTGCCCAGCTGGCACTGAGAGGAGCAGGACTGGTCCCAGCCCTGAGGGCACAGCTGACCCATTGCCCTGGAGGTTACAGGGCCTGGTGGACACAGCAGCACAGAGGATGCTTCTCTTTCAAGGAGCAAACAGCTGAATAAAAGAAAAAAATATAAAGTCAGAGATGCTAAGCCCTTGAAGAAAGAGTCTGAGCCATTTCTCACCTGTTTCAAAATGGAGACAGGTATTTCTCTAAGGCAGGTCCCATTTGACTGCCAAACCCTCACAGTTCAGACAACATACAGCAAGGAAAACAAGAAGACATTCCAACATCACCAGCATAGTGAGAACACCATGAGGAAACCAGGCAGGTCCTTTACCACTTCTCTCCAATTCATATAAAATGATATGATCATAAATGAATCTAACACACAGAAAGAATAAAATAACAGTGGTTTGCTTCCATCTTTTATTTCTCCAGCACACTTTGAGTCTGAGTTCAGAGCAGGATTCAAACCCACATTTTGGAGTCAAAACCTGCCACCTAGAGAGCAAAACAGCAAATGGAAAGGAACAGGCTTGGAGGCTGGTGAGTTTTTTAATGCAACTATCTCGTAATGTTACAGATGTGCTGGAAACTATAAATTTGCTGTGCTGTCTTTTACAGCAACAAAACAGATTTTAAGGGACTCTCAATTATGTATCTGCACTGCACAGACATCGTTACAGGATACTGCTGCTACCCCCAGCACCAGCACTGCGCTGTGTGGTTACTCATTACAGCACAAAAATACAGCTTTACTCCCAGTCCTAGAAATTTATGTGGTTTTTGTAAACAGAGAGGCATCTCTTGCCTTTTCTATTGAGATCATGTAACTGCTTCAGAAATAAAGTCAGATTTAATGACAGTCTTGGATGCTCTGAGTAGCAGAGATTGCCTGGGTCTGAGTACTGTGAGTGAGCTATGGATGGTCAGCAGGTCCAACAAATATCAGTCGGGACCTGGAACCACCAAAAAAACCCCAACAAACAAAAACCAGCACACCACACATACAAAAATGAACCAAAAGAAAAAAAATCAGAACCCTGGTGCAACCCTGAGTAAGCTCCCTGAGGTTTTTAGCTTGAGCAAAACTCAGATTTCCACTGCTAATCGTGTTTGTCCCTCAAGTTCGAATGGGACGAGCTGACAAACTCCTTAAGAAAATTGAAAGTGTTTCAACATTTCTGAGTAAAGAAATTTTCCAGAATTGCTGACATTGATTTCGGGTCAATTCAACACTAAACCAAACTCACAGAGATTCAAGGAGACATCCTGAAGTAACCTCTCCCTAACAATGGTACCCAACAGGTTTTAATTCCTGTATCATAGAATCAATCACCTCCATCACACATCCAGTCACAGGGCTCCATGGTTCATCATACAGCCCAGGCAGGAAAGGAGGAAGAGGCAGGTAATTATCTACCCTACATTATTTACTCTACATTGTGAAATACCCCCACCACTCACCTCAATCCTCTGTCCTCAGAGCCTTGGGCTGCACAGAGCAAAGGTTGGATGCAAATCAAACAGCAATTCCCAAATATGCTCTTGCATATCTGTAGCTTTAATTGCAGATTAACTGCACCACCCTGTGCTGGGGGGTATAATCTCTGATAGAGAAATAAAGTTTAACACCTTATTCATAACTCAGGAAAAACAATTATGTAACAATACAGTCAGTAGCACAAACCTCATTTAATTGCTACCAGAGTGCTGCAAGTTGATGTCCAAGAGACTTTTTGTTTTTGTGTTAAAATTTCTGTGGAAAATATCAAACCTGGACTCTTCCCTCTTCACCAGTTATTTCTAGTCATCCCAAAGCCAGAGGTTGTCTCAGCACTCCCAGCCTTGTACAGATGCTCCAGGAAGAACAGCCCACTGTGTACAACACCCAGAACCTGCTGCTGCCAGGCATCCACAGCAGCACAGCTCCTTCTGCCACCTTCCAAAATCACCTGCAGGCTCCTGCCCACACAGTCCTTCCTAGGAAAAACTGTCATCTAATCCTGCAACAGGCAGTGGGAAAGGGAAGCCAAAGGTGATGGTAAACTGAGCAAATAGTTATGGTGGAGCACAAGATTTAATTCTGCAGTTTCAAGAAAATTAAGACTTTGGACATCCCAAGTTGGGCATTGCTTTGAAACCACCAGCACAGAAGTCATTCTGAAGTTCTTCTTGAAATGTATCTCTCATGGCTCCTGGCATTTTCTGACCTAGTTTGCATTGACAGCTGGCTGCTACCAGGGTATCCAACCACTAGAAAGTGTTAGGGATCATCCAGAACCAAGTATTGCCCAGCAAGAGGAAAAAAAACCAAGGGGGTCTACATCCTGCTCTCTTTGTTGAAGAAAATCAGCGTGGCAATAAATTTCCCTGACCAAAATGAACTTACAGAATCCATCTCTCTAGTTGTCTCTCCACCATTGTCAAGTGCAGACAAAGAAAAACGAAAAGGACAATTTCATAAAATGTTACGGGAACACCAACACTGGCAGCATTTCTCTTACACATAAAAACTCCCTGAGTTATACCAGGTTATAGTTATACACATTAACTACCAGGTTATAGAGTAGCAACAGCTTTAAGGATCAACACTAATTTAAATTTTGCCTTTTAAAAAAATAAATAAACAATTTTCCAGATCAGATTACTCAAAATATTTATCCACAAGAACATATGGTACTAAACAGATGTGAATGCTTTCCAAAGAGACGCTGTCATCAATTAGCTGATATTTGTCAAGTGCACATTTTTAGACAGCAAGAGAAAACTGTGCAGCACAAACCTTTCTCTCAGACAAGGTCAAGGTCCTTCCCCATCCTGAGGTGACATCAGTTCCAGCTTAGCACAAACTGCTTCCCAGGCTGGAGCAGATCCAGGCATCTGCTGAGGTGCAGCACTGGACACTGCTGCAAACCTTAGAACCAGGGGTGAGTTGTTAAATTCAATTAACCAATTAAAAACCCATCCTCAGAGCTCAAGATAGAAGGAAGCACTTTCTCAGGATGCAGCAATCATCAGAGCTTTCTAAAATAGCTGGTGCCTCTAGAAGAGCGTCCAAGGAGCAATCCCTAGCAGGAAACTCCCTCCACCTCAGTTGTCCTGGAAGAGCATCTGTTACAGGGATGAAATTCAGGCAGTTCATCAGGGAGCACTGCCCATCCCAAAGGGCACCAGCACAGCACTACCGTGAGTTATTCTGATTATCAGGCTCATAAGAACACTGGCTGCAATTCCCTGACACTCCTTGCTGAGGAATTGCACAGACTGAGAAAATTTAGCACTGCTATTTATCTAAAGGGCACCTGTCGGTCTTTTTGCTCCAATTAAAACAGGCACCACCAGAAAACTGAGCTGATCTGGTAAAATACCCCTTATGTGTTGTCATAGGCTTTATCAAATGATTTAGTGCTCAGTGCTGCTTTCAGCTGTCCAGTGACAGGTGTCAGGTTCATTTCAGTAAATCATGCCAAGGTGAACAATGCAGGCCCTGCTCTTTGTGTCCCAAGGCCTGGATCACCTGGCTGATGCCAGACCATACATCAAGTGCATGAATACACCTTCAGTGTGCAGAGATACGACCTGTCCCTTATGCACTTCATCAGGGCTTAGCTCTAGCAGCTGCAAATGTCAGTATTGACACACCTGCTTCAGGAAGGGGTATTCCACAGGGATTTATTTAAATAGGAGAACTATGAAGAGTTTTAAATAAATAGCGACACGATTTTTCTTAACAGCACCTTTATGGAGCACAAGGTCAGCTTCAAACAAGTGCCAGGTTACATGAACTTTCAGTCCTCTATATAAAGCAATCTGGGGTTCAGTCCATCCTGATGAAACTTGCAACATTTATAGGCACAATACTTGGGCTATATCCACAGTAAAAAAACACGGGGTTTCCATTACAGTGCTGGGAGTGGTTAATAAGAAGGTTACCCTTTGTTCTTTTCTGGAGAATACTAATTCTCCTCCACTATGTCCCATTGTTACTTGGATTTCAGAACACAAGCACTGCAATGCTAGTTAAGACAAAGTGGAAATTAGGGTGACATCAGCTAAAGACCAAATCATCTTCACAGTTACAGACAATTTTGAATATATATTTTGCATGTGAAATTATATTAATTTTTATCAGTAACAATTCCATCTCAATTCTATACACAACAAACAGAATTCCTTGCCAGTAGAGGACTGCAGTGTGCATGGCTAATCAGCCTTGAAGAGAAAGTCTGGACCTCAGGCATATCCAGCTACGTGGATCAACACCAATCCCTTCAGATCCAGCAGCTTTGGTTTAATGGACGGAAACTTTGGCCTATTGTTCAAAGGTACCGGCCAGCAACGAACGAGCAGGACTGGACTTCTTAAAAATAAAGCAAAGTGTGGTATGTGCATAAAGTCAGTGCCTTGATCCTTAAAGCAGCTCTACAAGCAACTTTACCTTAAAAAGGGACAGTGCTTAAGTTACAGAAGATTTTGTTTATGTTGACCGAAGAAACGGCTCTGCTTCAGGAATTCAAAAGATGGATCAGATTTAGTAGTAGATTTATTAATTTGCAGTGATTTACAACAGGGTGACAACGTCTGAAACAAGGAGACACCAAAACAGGTTTAGCCAGGAGGTTTATGGCTTCTGAGTCAAATTCATTGACCAATGTCATGTCATTGGGGCAACTGAAGATTAGCAGACAAAAGGAAAGCGGAGGCCGGGTGCTGCACTGGTGTTTTGGAGAAAGTATTCCAAAGTGTCTTCTCTTACAGCAATTTCCTTTTCTCAAACTCCTGTAAAGAGCACAGAGATGTTACCAGCAGGGAAAACAGAACACTCTTCTATTATTCTTCTATTTCAAATTACTTTGCATGTATCTTAGGAAATCTAATGTTAAGAATTAAAAATTGGTATTCGAAATTAAAATATAAAAAGCATAAAGTGTGCAAGTTAGGGGGAAAGGAAACTGAGCATTCTCCCACCTCACATTAACAAGGCAGCTCTGGAAAGCCAGACTGTAATCACTGCCAGACTGCAATGCTGTCAAGGAACCATTTGCTCCCAGACACAGCATAATGGGCTTAAAAAATACCAATTCTGCATCAGAACTGCAGAAGAATCCTTACAGTAAAGGACTCAAGCCAGGGAAGCAACAAAATCAAGATTTTCATGTCAGTAAAGAAAAAGCACAACAGAAGAAGGGAAGAATCCCACAGCAGCCTGTGGAGATGTTGTACCATACAATCACCACAGGAAACAAAAAATACCTAACAGAGCTGAATTATGCATCTCCTCAAGCTGTGAAGCAATCCCTTTTTTGGATATGAATTAAGTAAAGTGCAAATAATCCCATTCCACACCTCAGTCTTTCAGTTGCATATATTCAACCAGAACTATGAATTATATGCCAAGGCTCTCCTTCCTCAAATACCCTACTTGGAAATAATGTTCTCATATTTTACATTAATTCAGACTCTGCATCCAGAAAACAATTTCAACAAGTAGCTATGCTTGAAAGCAGAATGTAATCTCTTCTCTATTTTGCTACATTTACTTTTCTATAAAACAATATTAAAAAAAGCTGTGTGCACATATATTTTATGTAGCAATTTCAGCTTGTTCAGCCAAAAGGGTTCTTATGTTTGAGCAAGTTCAGAGCAACAGAGTATCGGGGTAAGAGATGGACTCCCAGCTCTATTCCCTCAGAAGTGGGTTCTTGTTCTGGATGAGTCAATGCCTGGGGAACCAACCTTGTAGATGGTGCTGCCCAGCTGAGCAGGGGACATGCTGACCACAACCCCTGCACTCTGGAGGGCTGCAATCTTCTCCTTGGCTCCCCCCTTTCCCCCAGCAATGATGGCTCCAGCGTGGCCCATCCGCCGGCCCGGAGGAGCCGTCAGCCCGGCTATGAAGGACACCACTGGCTTGGGGTTGGGACCCTGGAAGAGATAAATGTTTTACATGGAGAAGAGTGAGAGGAAAAGCAGTTCTAGGTAGCAAATTGTTCATTTTGTATTTTTTATTTAAATATCAACTCGCCAGGCAAAGTTATTAAACAGCTCACACAGCACAAAGAAGTGTGGAATACCTTCTCTCTTGATAATCATCAAAAACCAGAAGCAAACAGAAAATTTAAATCTTTCTACAGTTTTTTAAATTTCTAGATTTTTTCCTAATTTAAATTTCTAGAATATAAATCTTTCTGCATACTACAAAAAAAATCACTACAAATATTGTTACAGGAATAAAATTCTAAAGCTGACACTACTCTCAGTCCACAGAATCACAGAATATGGTTAGAAAGAGCTCTAAAATCATCAAGTGTCACCATTCGATTTAATCTGGACAACATTCTTAATCTCAACTCTTTTTCGTTAAAAAAAACATGACTGTTTGGGGTATTTGTAAATAGAGATGAGGGACTGAACTGAGTTTTCCTTGATGTGGCAAAAGAAGCTGGCTAACTATGAAAGTGTCCAGAAGCCAGGTGTTTAAAGACTTACGGCATTATTTTCTTTCAAAAATGCCGCTGCATCTTCTTCAGCGTTTCCTCCAATCTCCCCAATCAATATTATCCCCTCAGTTTGAGGATCTTTCAGGAAGACATCAAGGCAGTCAATAAAATTAGTTCCATTGAAGGGATCACCTCCAATACCTAAAAAAAAAAAAAATAATACCACAAAAGAAGAGAGTAACTCAAGATAAAGATATTGCACTTACAAATGAAGTTTAAGAGTACATTTGATCATGAGGAGAATTCCCAAAGGTTCATAACACAGGCAGCTCTGAAGGCTCTACCCAAGTCAGAGTGTGTCAAATTCCTGCTCCAAATACCTCCCCCACAATTTACAGAAAGCTTTGATATCCAAATGCTCACCTTTCAAACCATAAACAAAACGTTATGAATACAGCAGGACCAAGACCCCAGCTCTACAATTTTGGTGTAAGGAAACTGAATTTACTTTACACACCCAACTAAATGCCTAAGAATGCCCTAATCTTTATAATACTGAAGTTCTTGGGACAGTCTATTTCCAAATTGACATCATATTTGCTGGCAGTTCTCTGTTCAAAGCTGGTTTTAAGGCTTTTATTAACTCAATGTGGAAATGATAACAGAGAAGGGCTGTACTCTTCACAGCACATAGGATCTCACTTCTCAACACAATTGCCATTCAGCAAATTCTTAACTTGATAAAAGGAATTATTTTTGATTTATGCTTGTGAAGAAAAAGCAGATTAGTCTAGGTCCAACAGGCTGATTCTGAGGGAACTTACCAATGCAAAAAGACTGCCCCAAGCCAACTTGTGTTGTCTGATGAACAGCTTCGTATGTCAGGGTTCCAGATCTTGACACAATACCTTGAGGAAAGAAAAGAAGATAAACTTACCACTAACACAGCACATAACTAGAGGCAGCTGTTCTTATAGTAATGAAAATCACCTCAGTAAACAACATGAGATTCCAGGTTTTCCAGCTGCCCTTGCCAAAACACTCTGTGAGATTCTTTCAGTACTGTTTCTTGGTTTTCACCTTTTGACACTTAACTGTCAGTGGACTAAAGCCGCCCAGAAAGTCAGTATTTTTGTCACTCTAAAGGCTTATTAGGAAAGAAAATTGAAAAGCAAATAAAAGAACATACTTCTTATCTTGTATGTGAGTAGCTGATGCACTGGACTTGAAACGGAGCTGCAGCTCAACAATTAACAAAAGAATTCTGTATTAATCACATCCCCAGTATAACCAGGCAAACAAGAGATCTTCCAGAACAGAAAAATGCTGCACAAACTCAAGTTATCACTATTAAGGTATTTGTTGCTGCTCTAGAGAACACATCTGGCATTTACATTACAACATTACAAGAGATCACAACCCCAGTTTTAAATTCAGTATGGAAGGTAGCACAGAGCTTGGAGCAGGGGCAAATTAATTGCATGGCTTTCTGTTCATTTTTTCAAGTCATGACCTCTGTTAACACTACAAAAAGAAATGTTTCCATGAAAAACAGACACCATCTTCCATCTACTTCAAGCCATATAACAAGGATGCATGAACAGAGGAGAAAATTAATCACTAGACTAAGAACCTTAGTTTTACCAACTATTTATACTGTTTGCCAACTCAGATGTGTTCTAGCACAAAGTTTTTTTCTTTCTAAGCTTGAAAAGGCCTCCCTGTTTACCACCAAGATCAGATTGCCTCAGAGAAGCTACAGATGAAAGTCCAAAGACTGTGGCTATTTTTATACCTTGCATCACAGTATATTCAGATGATTATTGGATGCCTCACAGTAACAGAAAGCTGGAGAGCTCATCACCAAAGGTCACACGTTAGATGAAACTTGAAGGGTGGCAAATCTACATTTTTATTCCTTGATTCTTGGATCACCATTGAAAACATTTCCAGCACTGGCAGAGCTACTGGACTCAGGATTTTGAATATTCTTTTGCACTTGATGTGCCTTGCATTCAGATTCTAATAACTTGTGACTGCAACATATTTCTTACATACATTTAGAAAATTTGAACAAGGAGCTCACGGCAACATTGGTTTGATGTTACTTTTTACAATCACACAGCAATGTCTCAGTGATTTTTATAAAGGGCATAGCTGCAGCCATTTAATTTTTTAATTCCAAGTTTATGGGTACTTGTGAAAGCTGGAGATGGAATCTTGGAACACATGAGTGTTAACACATCTTCCAGCATTCCCTAGGTGCAGTCTATTCTCAAGTCAGAAGAGGTTAGGTAGCAGAGATAGCTCCTCATGCCAGAAAATCTCCACAGTCCCTGTAGTTCAACAGCATTGAACAGGCTTTCCTACAATAAACACACTTTCCATCCAAAAAAATCATAATGTTGTAAAGGGTACTACTGTGCTCAAGTGAAACTGGTCACCTTGTTGACAGGCAACAGCAGCAAGTGCTGCTTACAACAATATTTCTGAAGCTCTACCTAAGTACAAATGTACATTTCAGAAGAATTTTCTCTACAGCTCCTGAATTGCATTATTTGAAAAAAAAAAAAAAATCAAGTTGTTATTTCTATAGTTTACAATGAGGAACTGACAGAAGTCAGGACAAGAGACCTGCATGTAACAGGGTGTGTAACTCATTGCACACAGAGGGTGAAGCAAACATTGATTATGAACAAGTCACTGCCTTCCTGCGCTTTACCACACTGCCTGAAAATTTGGTATATTTGTCACTTCCACTTGTGATGGTTTCATAGTTGTCTAAATTATGTTACAAACTTGTCTGTAGTCTCTTCTCTCTGCTGTAGTAACGAGATCACTGGAAGAGTAGGATCCCAGTCCCAAGCAGCCAAGCTGTTGGAAGGAATAGTGTTGGAGTGCTCTCAAATCCCAAGAAAAATGGAAGTTTCCTCAAGGCTGTCCTTTGAAGATACCAAATCAATCACACTACCCACAGGAATTCCCAATTGCTTTGCCTCTCCCATCAGAGACACCCAGAGTCTACTATGGAAGAATTCACAATTTGGGCCTTCAGGATTGATAATGCTAAAGTTCACATACAACTTGAGACAGACAAGCTGTCCCAGTGTTATCAACTCTGTCCAGGGCAGGATGTGCCTTGCCTCACGAGGAAGAACACTAGAGCACCAAACTTGTGTTTTAGATGACGCATAAATATTTAAAAACTCACCAATTCTTCCTTTCTTGTGAATGTGACCAGGCATGATACCAATTTTACATTCTCCAGGCTAAGGAAAGAGTGGGAGAAGTCAGATGGAACATTCAAACCACCACTAGGAACAGTTCAGCCTTGGAGCAAAGCCAGAGGTCACTTACATTGATGACTCCGGGGCAGTTGGGGCCCACCAGCCGGGTCTTGCTCTGCCGCAGCAGCCTGTGTTTGACCCGCACCATGTCCTGCTGGGGGATGCCCTCAGTGATGCACACCACCAGGGGCATCTCTGCATCGATGGCCTCATTGATGGCAGCAGCTGCAAATGGGGGAGGGACATAGATGACAGTGGCTGAAGCACCCGTTTGTTCTTTGGCCTGCAACGGACACGACAAAAAATACAGCGTGTGTTTAGCGGGGCTGATGAGAATGTTTGACAAGTCATTTAAAACACATCCATACTCAGGCATGAATTAAGGATATGTATTAATCTACTATAATCCAAGCAAGTGTTAAATTCCCTGAAGATGGGACACAAGCATGGAACTGAGAACTGACCGCTGTCTGGAAAGGATCTGCCCCATGGTCACCATCATAAATACTCTTACATAACAGTTTGCTAAAAATTCATCATGCACAGCAGAATCAATCAGGAACTAGCTGCATTCATAAAGCAAGTGTACCCAGACCCTGTGAACTTCACAGTGGAAGCCAAATTTGTGCCTGACCACCCTGAATGCTCCCTCTTTTACAAGGCTTCTACTTCACTCTTTGCCCAGTGACATCCATGGCTCAAATATTTGTCTCTCCGGTGTGAGCAATGAAATAAGGAGCCCTTCAGCTTTAAACTCGGTGCCCTCCAGTCACTGCTGCAAATTACCTCCTTCACAGAATTAAACACAGGCAGACCTAGATGAGTTTTTCCCCCTTTCCCTGGAGAAATTCCTCCAACTAGATTGGTGCCATACTCCAATGCCTGCTGGCTGTGAAAGGTGCCCTGTGAGAGAGAAAATAAGTAAAGTTAGAAGCATGTAATAACAAATAAAGTTAACCAAAAAGTTTGATATTATCTATAATTCTAAGGTCAATTTATGTCACTGAAATTTGCAGTAAGAAGGGAAGTTTTCACTACACACACATATATATAAAATCAGGTATTCTGGAGACTGCATCCACATATTTTAAATGTATTTGGAATATGCTAATATGCTCTTTTTTTTCTTTCTTTCAATCAGAGCACTGTAATTTCATGCTAAAGGGTACTCTGTTGTGTGCTGCTAACACACTTGCAGTCACAGCAGCCACAGTTTCTTTTCCACATCAAGTCTGGCAGATGACAAACACTACAACGAAATAAAAGAAATTAGCATGCTCATCCATGACTAGCTAATAGTTTCACAAAAGCAGCCTTCTCTGCCTTCTAATGTGTTCAAGAGTGAATCTGAGAAAATTATTAAATATCCTTAAATAAAAACAGAAATTTAATTCATAGGCATTCATACTGAAATGCATTTGTGGAAGAAGCACTTCAAAAATGGGCAGGCTTTTGCAGTTTTTTTGCAAATAGCCTTTTACAAAGAAACCCTTTCAGCTGCATATAATATAACAAAAATGAAAAGCACTATAATAGAATTGACTCAAAACCAATTTTCAAGCTTGTGCACAAGTATTTGGGCCAAAGAATGTAAATTGCAGTGCTGAACGGACCTGACTGATGGTGAAGGAAGTCCAGTTTCCTATCAACACAGACAGTGACAGTATATAATCCAGTTCATATATAATTATGTTTTCTGAGCAATTAACTTTCTGACTGAAAGGCTGACAGAAGAAAATATTTATAAACATACCTGTTTGCCTGTAAAACCCTGACAGATAACCTTTGTGCTTTTGTTGACATACAGGTTTTTCCTGGATGCTGTGTAGGAGCAGTGTCGGACTCCATTCTGTTGAACTGGAGAGAAAAGAGAGCACAAACCATTAATCCACTCCTTTGGTAGACCCCAAGTCAAAAAATGTCCTACCAAGTAAGTGCATATCAATCAATGCTTGTATCAAAAAATCATGAGCAGCTCATAAACATGAGCTCTGAACAAAAGCAGCTCTGAAGCCTCATTCTAAGACATTAAACACCTGTAGCTCACACTGTTATGCCAATTACTCAATTTACTAGAAATCAGGAAAGTTTCTCATATTGAGTACTTGATATCAGGATTCAGCCTGACAGACAGAAACAACTTCTTCAGCACTGCTTTCATTTACAAACAAACACATTTTTATCTTCTAAGATATTCTACAAAGCGACAAAGCAGAACTACAATCCCAATATCCAGAGGCTGTTACAACACTGGTACCATGTTATACCTCCTGTGAACGGAGCACACTCCAGACCAGACAAGAGACACTGAGGAGCTCAAGGGTCCTTCAGCCCAGGAAAAACCTGATGCCAAGTAAGACAGACAGCAAGAGATCTTTTTCCAACAGATTCCTAGCTATGGCATCAGTGCTGGACACACATTTGGATTGGTGAGGAAACACAGCTCTCGAGACTGTAGTCTCAGACTCCACTAGAGTGATTTTCAATTTAGTTCTCACAACTCTGGTGCTGAGAGAAGAAAACAATACAGCACAATTGTAGAAAAAGAGCACAGTGAGTGCTGGCAGCAAAAAGCCAAGAGAAATGACTGCATCTGTGCTGAAGGGAAAGGAACGCTGACAGCAAATGCACAGAATGTTACCACAGAAGAAAACTTGAGATGAGAAGGGAGAGGGCTTCTGGTATAAACAGGATGCACATCTAAGTTTATTACCATATGCTTTTTCAAACACCAGAGTTTTGAGGGGATCAGAACCAATTTATTCCCTGCAACTGTTGACATAAAAACCTTAATTTCTACATAGAGTGAAGCTGGGAAGGTACAATCCTAATACAGGATCTCAAATATATACACCAATATGTTACTATTTACCCCTTTAACTCTTTTAAAAGTTTAGCAACTAAGACTTAAGGAAGTAAATAGTGAAACTGAAATCAAAGTAACAGATCCTGAATCATGGTCCCCACACTCTTCCATATACATAATTCAGGCACATCTGAACAAGGGAATATTTTTTTCTTTTTAGGAAAGGAGTAAAAGCTTTTAGGAGAAAGAAGTAAAAAAGTATTCTTATGCTAATGCAGAGAATTTGTTAAGATGCATTATTAAATTATTATAATAGCAGAATTTCTGTGGGTTAGTAAATATGCAGAAACTTTTTAAGATCCACATATACACATTTCCATTACAGAGCTACATGGTTTTCTCTTGCCAAGTAAACTTTAGTGCTACACTGCTTTTATGCTTCAGTTGTATTCAAAGAAGTGAAGAGAAAAACCAACCATGCCAAAAGCAGCCTACACACATCAGTGCTATTGCTAAACCTAAAGTCCTTACTCTGTTCTTAGAAAAGAACAAACCCAGGGCTTAACTCCAGCCACCTTCTGCTGCTCTCTAAGGACCTGCTGCAAATCCTCAGCTTCACACGGACACAAAGTAAAACTCTGTACAGAAAGGCACAGACTATGATGCAGTAAACTTGTAAGGGAAGTGGCAAAAGTGCACTTCAGCTTCCTGACCTGCAGGGCTTTAACTTAAATCACAAGAAATACTGTTGCAGAACTCATTATGCCAGGAAATACAAAGCAGTGAGGGAAAAAAATCCATGTGAAATCCTTAGGAAAAGCCATAAAAAAGCCAATTGTATCCTGGGCTGCATCCAAAGCAGGGTGTGAAGGTCAAGGGAGGGGATTCTGCCTCTCTGCCCCGCTCAGGGGAGACCCCCCCCTGCAGAGCTGCCTCCAGTGCCAGGGCTCAGCACAGGAAGGACCTGGAGATGTTGGAGTGAATCCAGAGGAGGGCAGGAATATGATGAGAGGGATGGAGCTATGAGGATACTATGAGTAAAGGCTGAGAGAATTGGGATTGTTCAGCCCAGAAAAGAGAAGCCTTTGGGGTGACTCAATTCCCTTAAGGACCTGAAGGGAACTTACAGAAAAGATGAAGCAAGACTATTGACAAGTGCATGTAATGACAGGACAAGGGGGAATGGCTCCAAACTGAAAGAGAGCACATTTCAATTGGATATTAGGAAAAAAAAACTGTCCTGTGAGGGTGGTGAGGCCCTGGTACAGGCTGTCCACAGCTGTGGCTGCTCCATCCCTGAAGTGTTCCAGGCCAGGCTGGATGGGGCTTGGAGCAAACTGGTCTAGTGGAAGGTGTCCCTGCCCATGGCAGGGGGTGGAACAAGAGGATCTTTAAGGTCACCTTCCAACCCACACCATTTTGTGATTCTATGATTTTATGAAAATATGTCTAAGGCTGAGATTTAATGAACAAGGCTACCAGGCTGACTGCGGGAGGAGAGAGAGAAGCCACTGCTACAGAAGACAGCACAGGATGATCTTTGTCCTCAGCTGAGGACTTGGCTTTCCTAGGCAGGGCTGCAAGGCCCTCCACATCAATCAACTGAAAGGCACATCTGGTGAAGAGCTGCCTGCCTCCAGCAAAGGAGAGGCAAAACAAAAACAGGAACAGCTGGAATGCTGGTCAGTAGAGCAGGGAATTGATCTACCTGAGCCCAGCCACTCAGCCAATCCCTCAGTGTCACAACATGTGCCTGAGTGACACCCAACACTGAGGACAGCAGAGAACGATCCCCCTTGGGAAGGAGCTCTTCCAGTCCTTACCACCAGCAGGGCCTTGGGGAGAACAATCCAGGCTTCCAGGAGAATGGGAAATTTGAAAATGGGCCTGCAAGGGGAAAGAACAAACAGGCAACATAAACTGATTCAAACCTAAGTTTTACAGAGTCTGTGCCCAACCACTGACAAATCCACCTGCAAAGTGAGGGATGCTTGCTAGCCATGTATCTGTCAACAAAAACAAATATCACAGAATGGGTCATGTTGGAAGGGATTATAGTGGGTCAGCTGGACCAACCTCCCTGCTCAAGCAGGGTCATCCTACAGCACATTGCACAGGACTGTGTCCAGATGGCTCCTGAATACCTCCAGTGGGGGACACTCCATAGTCTCTCTGTTGCTGACAAACTGACAAACAGTCACCTTTCTCTACACCTTACAGCAATTTCATACTCCCAGTTCAACTGTTCATTCCAAATCTATTTTCAGATATTGACAGCATTGCACAAAATGTTTTTGAAAGCTTGTTTGTCAATCCTCCATTTTCAGAAGACTGTATAAATATATTTTTCAAGGATAAAAAGTTTCTGAGCATTTTCTAAACTATCAAAAAAAGAAAAAATAGGCACTGATATCTAAGAGGCAGCTTAGAATTAAAGCTTTGTATGGATCTAACCTTGAAAACCGTATGTGCTTCTTACATTATTGTATGGCCCTACTTCAGAGAAAATACAGCTGTTTCAAAAAGCCTGGCTATAGATTTGAGCCATTTGCTGTCTCCAGAGACAGGCAGCTTAGCACAGTCCAAAGCCTGCATAGTTACATATTTTTGAAGTGATTTATGGAAAAAAAAAAAATAAAAATCACCTTGCAGTCTCTGAGCTGGATGAGCCTGAGTTTTGGGGGTTTTTAAAGTGGTTTGATACAGTTCTGTACTTGTGTTCCTGACCCCACCTGCAGCAGCAAGGTTTGCCCTGGTTATCAGCAAAGTGGGAGCAGCAGGGCCATGGGTCACAATGAGGTTCTGCTCCACGTGGCACAAACAGCAAGTCCGGGTGCAAGCAGCTGGCAATTTCAATAGCTAAGACAGATACACGATGAGAGGGAAACAGGTGGAAATGGCATGCCCAAGTTCACAGCAGGTATGAGTCAGAAATAGAAGCCAAGTCTCAACTTCCACCCTGGACCTGCTTCACAACTTCCAAACCTGTCCAGACAATTGATTTTACTACCAAAAAAATCTGGGTGCTTAGGTGTAAATGTATGCTGCTTCATGAAGACTGGAGGGAAAAAAAAATTTTAAAAAATGCTCTTCAGCTGTGAACCAGCATGGCCAAACCCATTGGTGATGCTATTTTAATGCTCACATCCAAATTACAGGCCAAGTTACAAAGGTGAAAGCTCCAGATTAAGTCCTAAAGCATAAGGACAAGTCTTATCAAATCCAACTCTTCCCAAAAGCACAGGGGAAATGTTATATTTTGTCAAGTCAGTGTGCTAAGATAACATTACCATGTTCAACAAAGGCCTGTAATAGACGTTTAGCAAAGTGTATTGAAAATAAAATCAGAGATTGGACAATCTTTCCCAGGCATGATGTTCATTCCTGCCCCACCCCTGTTCAGACTGTGGTTTAAAAATAAAGTTATACAAATAACAAGATGCATTGGTTTTGGCTTTTCAGTACTTTAACTTCTACATAGCCAAAAAGTGAGACATACTCTGGCAAGAGCCTGCTTTGGTCCATTGTACAGGAAAACCAAGCAGTTGTGAAAAGTGCTCAAAGTTCCCAACCCCTGCTGTCTCAGGAGAGATTTGAAAAGCAGTATCTAAATTTAGCAATGGGGCATAAGCCTGTGTATGGAACATCAGCTGTTTCACAGTCAAGGAACCTTATTAGAAACTAAGGGACAGAGTTACTCCAACACCACACACTTCTGCTGGTAACTCTGGCATTTCCAGGCAACAAGGCCCCAGCCAAGAGCAGAACTCACTGTGGTACAAGTAACTGGAAAATTTACCACCTCATTTACCTCTTAGGGAAAAAACCTCACAATCCCTAGGCTCAAGCAGGACTTAAAGCTCATTTGTGCATTACAATTAACAAGCCTTTCTAGAAAAATACCCTATTATTTGTCATGGAGTCCAAACAGGAATTTACACATTAAAAAGAAAACTGGTCCATTTACAAGGTATGTTAAAGCACAGAGGGAATTTAAATATCATTTACACTGAGCTTTCAGGCCCTCCTTGAGCAGCAACACCTCTCAGGCACAAATCTCCTTTAAAACAATGCAACTCAAGCTACATTTCATGGAATCACAGAATGGTTTGGGTTGGAACGGACCTTCAGAGGTCATCTAGTCCAAGCCCTTCCCTGTCTGGGCTGTGCAAACCAGGTGACAGCAAAGGGCTGATTCTCTTCTTTATCCAAACTATACTATAACTATATAAAGCTCAGAACTTACAAGGGCTCAGAACTTACAAACCAAGTCAAAATGTCTCCTTCTCACCAATATTTACCCCAAACCAAAAAAATAAGGGAATTTGGAAGCAAAGGTAGCAACTGAGGTGCTCATAAAACAAGCCCAGTATAAAAGCAAGCTGAAACAGCAGATTCCTCTCCACAATGACCTGAGCTGACATCTACATTACCAGAAGACTGAAATTCTTCCTCTATTGCTCCTTGAAATAGCCACAGAACTTGGAGATGATGGAAGATACTCCTTTTCTTTTCTATAACCTACGCAAGGAAAGAAGAAAGCCTTAGAAATCATAGGAGCTCCACTGTTAAGTGGGAATTGGAGGCCACTGCAGGGCAAGCTCAGGGAAGGACTGAGGGATGAGAAGTGCTAATTAAAACGCTGTCTTTTTTTTCCACACACACATCCCAACACCCCATCTTTATCTCCCATCAGTTATGGACCTTCACGTTGCTCCTCAGAAATCCTTTCAGTATTTTCTACATGTTTAATTTACATTTTTATGATTATCTCCCTTCTCCTTCCTCTGCCAACAAATGCAATGCCTGAGGAAGACACAACAGGAACAGTTCTGGGGAGCTCCTGACAGTGCAGAGGAGCATAAACCAATCCCCAGAACTCACCCCTGAAGTTACCTGTTACATTAGAAGAAGAAGCTCCTTGATGACAAAGAAGGCTTCATGCCATTGAGGGATTGTCCAAAATACCTTACTCCTTTGTTTCAGAGGATTATGCATTCCAAGGACCCCTGTTTATCAGTCCCCAGGTTCTCTTCTCTCATCCCTCCCTTGCCAAATTCCTGTTAATTATGGAAACCCAGATCTGTGACCATGAAACAGGAGTTTAGGAATTAAGTAAATTAATCAGGCTGCGAAGGGCAGATGCAATGCCTACACTACATCCATCACATTAAAACAAATCTAGGACTAGTGGGAAATGACATCCAGAAAAAATTCAGTTATTTCAACATATCTGTCTTTCCTAATCAAAGTCTCTCCTCAGTACAAATCCACTACTTCTTGTAAGCCAACAAGCTGCTTTTCCCCAGGTATCTTCCACCAAGAATGTGAGCAGGTAAAGACTTGTGAGCTTTCCTCCCTCCACACTGTTGATATAAAAACAATTAAGGAATTCTTCAGTTTGGATTGTTATTTCTGCAGCAATCCTTTACCAGGGTTACTCACATAATTACTATAATCTTTTAATCTATCAGCTCTCCAAAGCCTTCTAACACATCCAGGACATGGAACCCCTAATCCTGACTCTCCAGTCAGTTCAGATGCCTACAAAAACTTTTCAAGGGTATGGACAAGCACAGGTCTCTCCAGATTCTGTCCCTACACCAGCAGAGCCCTGAGCTGACCTTTGAGTAGCACTCACCATTCATTGACAGATTTCATACCCCATTTCCACAACTTCTTGATCTCAACCTTAGAGATACACACCCTGCATGTTTCCTTCAGCAACACACCAACAAAAACAAGGTGTGCATCTCTTTTGCAACAGAACACACTGGACACTCATGATTTCAAACCACTAAGAGAAGCAATTGTTAATTGTTAGTGAAAATGTATGTACAAAGTCCAAATTTAAGGTTTCAACAGTCTTTAAAGAGTAAAGAGTATCAAACCAAAGACTTCCAATAAAGGACTAGTTCATCTTACAGGAGTTTCTGTAAAAGACTTCATGAACAGATGCAAAAAGACACTTCTTGAGCCACTTAGATTTCTTCCTCCTTTCTGTCCCTCAAAATAATTTTAATAACTATTCCCTGAATCTCTTATTGCTATTTGTAAAGGGAACAATGTGGGGTTTTAACACATAAAACTGCACCCAAGAGTAGCTCTGCTGGGAGTATAAATTAAACTAAATTGGAACTACATTCCCATCTGTTCCCCACCATCAGAACCAATTCTTACTGGGCCCAGGGGAGCCAATTCAAAAAGCTGAAGTGGCAGAAATTAAGACCATAAATAGTTTCCTGATCCTGCTTGTGGAGAACAAGAGGCAGGAATGGATACCAACCTGGGCAGCAGGTGTGCCACAGGAACTACTCAGACCAGCCTGTGGTTGTGAGATCACATTACCTGACTTGCAAGTCACCATCCCACCGAGGCAAAAACACTTTGTGTGCAGTCAAATGAGGTAGGCTTAAACTTTTTTCATTCATTTTCAGCTACTGCTCTTGTGCATATGCCTGGGCATACCCACACTGATCTCATGGTTTGGGTTGGAAGGGACCTTAAAGATCATCTCATTCCAACCCCTTGCCATGCGCAGGGACACCTTCCACTAGACCACATTGCTCCAAGCCCCATCAATCTGGCTTTAAACACGGCCAGGGATGGGGCAGTCACAGATCCTCTGGGAAACCTGCTCCAGTTTCCCCATAAGAAAGAATTTTCTCCTAATATCCAACCCAAACTTACTCTCACTTTGAAACCACTACACTCATTCTATCACTACAACTCACCTCTTCAAGAGGATGTAGCAAAAAAAAAAAAAAAAAAAAAAGGAGAAAAGCACTTTCTTTTTCATTGTGATGTTCAGAACACATAAATGTTTCGAGCTGAAGTACTAGTCTCAGACTGCTCGTGCTCTCCACAAAGAGAAGTCTATAGCCTTATTCTTGGCAACAAAAAGAACTTTACCACGCTGTGCTGAAACCACAGGGTAATTCAAGGCCCTCCAGAGGCCTCCAGCCCTCGCAGTGACCAGTCCCCACCCTACGGGCTCCCTCCGGCCCTTGCCCTTTGGAGTCTCTCCGAGGCTACAACGCCGAGAACAACCTTTCCGTGCCCCCATCCTCCACGGGGAAACTTCCCTTTACATTTACAAACAGCTCCCTCTCTGCCAGGCGTGCCCCTGCCCCGGGCGGGGCGATCCTGCCCCGCTCCGAAGGCCCAGCGAGGGCCCGGAGCAGCGCCGGGAGCAGCGCGGGAACCCCCGGGGCCGCCCCGAGTCCAGCCCCGGTGCCCGCGGGCCGAGCGCGCCCGGCCGCGCTCCGCCGTGACCTTGCCCGGCCCCTGCCCTGCCCGGCCCGGCCGGGCCCCGGCGCTGCCCGCGGACCCCGCGGCGGGGCCGGGAGGGCTCGTCCCGGTACTCACGGCGGAGGAAGCGGCCGAGCAGGCGGGCGGCGGCGGGGCTGCAGCGAGACATCGTCCCGTCCGCAATGACGGCGGCGGCGGCCCCGAGCTCGGCCCGCCCCGGCGGCGGAAGGGCCGCGGCGGGGCCTTCTGGGTGTTGTAGGCACGGGAGCCTTGAGGGTGAGGAAGGGCTCCGGGATCGAGCGACCCGGCACCGCTACGGACACTTCAGTCTCTCATCAAACACCGCCAGGGACGGTGACTGCGAGGGGTTATTGACTCCCTCAAACACAGGGAGGCCCTGCAGAGAGACCTCCACAAATGAGAGGGCTGGGCAATCACAAACCATGTGAGGTTCAACCAGGGAAAGCGCCGGATTCTGCTCCTGGGATGGGGCAACCCTGGACGTACGGACAGGCTGGGGAATGAGGGGCTGGAGAGCAGGGCCATGGAAAGGGACCCGGGGGCCCTGCTCAGTGGCAAGTTGAACTGAGCCAGCAGTGCCCTGGCAGCCAGGAGGGACATCCCTGTCCTGGGGACATCAGGCACAGCATCACAGCCGGGCAAGGCAGGGATTGTCCCGCTCTGCTCTGGGCTGGGGTGGCCTCACCTCCAGTGCTGGGGGCAGCTTTGGGTGCCACAATAAAAGAAAAACATTAAACAATTAGAGAGTGTCCAAAGGAGAGCAACAAAGATGGTGAAGGGCCTTGAGGAGAAGCCGTGTGAGGAGAGGCTGAGGGCACTTGGTCTGTTCAGCCTGGAGGGGACTGAGGGGAGACCTCAGTGCAGTTACAAATTCCTCGAGAGGGGAAGAGGAGGGACAGACACTGATCTCTTCTCTCTGGTGGCAGTGACAGGAGGCAGGGAATGGCCTGAAGCTGTGCCAGGGAGGTTTAGGTTGGATATCAGGAAAAGGTTCTGTCCCCAGAGGGTGGCTGGGCACTGAACAGGCTCCCCAGGGCAGGGGTCACAGCCCCAGCCTGACAGAGCCCAGGGAGTGTTTGGACAATGCTCTCGGGCTCAGGGTGTGACTCTGGGGGATGGTGCTGTGCAGGGACAGGAGCTGGACTGGATCATCCTTTTGGGTCCCTCCCAACTCAGCTTGTTCTGTGATTCCTTGGCTCCATCACCTCAGAGAATCACAGGATGGGTCAGGTTGGGAGGAACTACAGTGCATTACCTGGTTCAACCCGTGCCATCAGCTGCCTCCAGATTTACATGTCCTGTAAATAACCAGTACAAATAATTTTGTATTTATGGGCATAGATGGGGTAGGGAGGACTGTGGGAATGGGTTGAGAAGACACAAAGTATTGCTTCAGAACAAAAATAAACAAGCAAAGTCATACTCTCATTTCTTCCTGATTTTTTAATTAATCGTGTCCATAAAACTGAAGCCAGAAGGAGGCTGTAATGAATGAAGCATGCAACTATTAAGCTTCTTATGAGGTATATATGATCCCCTTAGGAGGACACACATACACTGATTTTATAAGGAAGCCTCCCTACTACTAAAAGATTTATACCTGGATCCATTTCCGAATCAATTTTTCCTTTAGGCTTTCACTAAGACTCTTGTGGAGATTATAGAATTTGAGTTCAATGCCAATGCATCGTCATTCTGTATACAGAAACATTTTGCTTTTTTAATGTTTCTAATAGGATCTTGTAAGATGATTGGTTTGATGGTTTGGTTTTTTTAAACCTCAGTAGCAGAAACATCTCTTCAGTCCTTTGTGTTCAAAAAACCCTTACTGTGTATAGAGTCTTTTGATTCTGTAATTAACATCAATGCAAAGCATCATCACTCTAACTGTTGAAGTTTTGGGGTATGGAAACGAGCTGTACAATATCTAATTGGCCAGACATACATGGAACTGAGGAAAAATAAACTTACTTTCAATTGTTTTAATGCAGTGGCTTGGTTCCTGTCAGAGAACACTCTGTCCTACCAACATTAATTTTGCTGATTTATTCAACTGCCCAGAAAGAAACCATTCAGCCCAGGGAGAAACAGTGCAGCAATTATCAACACTCAGGTAGCAGTGACAGGGGCTGCCTCACAAAGCTCAGGTCAGACCCAGTTCTAGTGGGGTGACCAAAGGACTGCTCATTGTCCTAGAACTGCAGCCCCTTATGCCACAAACATTGTGGTGGGCTTCCCACCAGACAGAAATCCTTCAGGATAATCTTGTTGCCCAGCAAAGTTGTGAATTCCTCATCCCTGGAAGTGTTTGAGACCAGACTTGATGGGGCTCTGGGTAGCCTGGTCTTGTGGGAGGTGTCCCTGCCTATGGCAAGGGGTTGGACCTAGATGGTTTTTAATGTCCCTTCCAACCCAAACCATTCTGTAATTCTGTGGCAGGAGTCACACATTTGATCCACACAATAAACTCAGACATATTAAAAACTTGAGGTTGTATTCAGCCTGGCATCTGTACAAACTGCACAGTTGGGGCTGCCACAAAATGGACTTTGTGGGCAGGTATTTAACAGCAACAAATATACCGCTGATTTCCCATTCAGAATCTGAAGCAGGTTTGTCTCCTGGTGCTGGCCAGAGCTAAAAGACATCCCATTGACAAATGCAGATTCCAATAGGGAGGGTTTAGCAGGAAGGCCATCCTTGGAGGGAAAGCCTGTATTTAGGGAATTGCTAAACCAAGGACAAGTTCTGGAGCTGGTTTAGCCCTTACTCACCTCAGTCATGACTCTGGACCTACATTTCTGGCATCAGCTGATGTCTGATCGCTGTCTCCCAATCTTACCCTCAATAAAAGAACCCAGCAGCTTGAAATCCTCATGAGTCTTGTTAGCTGTAGTGGCATCATCACCTCCTATCACTGGAACTTAAGGATGTGCAAACAAATTGGTCATTCCCCACCATCTCCCTGGAACCAAGGCAGGAACCCAAGTGTGAAGCTAAACCCTGGCCTCACATCTATCCAGCAGCTAAGGGGAGCTGACCCTTCTGAAAACAGGCAAGTTTGTGGGTTTCTATACTTTATAGGTTGTAAGTAAAAAAAATCCCAGCATCTCAGCCCTGGGAAAGTGACTGGGAGGAGATGAAAAGAGCACAGAGAAATTCAGAGCTGAGGATTCCCTCTGGAGGGATTAGCCACACTTGTGCTTTAACCTGCTTTATTTTTAACCTGCAGCCTGTGGTTTTCAGTAACAGAGTTATGGCTGAGAGCATCTGCTAAGGAATTAGTTAGAAATTTACTTGCTGGGACTTCAATAACTCCAGAGAGCAGAGATAAGGACTGGAGAGTAATGGCAGGGAGGGTGTAGGAGGAGCAAGAAAAAGATCATCCAGCTTGTTTTTTCTGTGCAGTCCCCATTATGCTTTCAGCAAACAAATTCTATAAAAATTCTGAATAATCCAGCAAGCTTTTGTGGTACTGCTATTAGTATAGTTATTTGCAGGGGGGCAGAGGGTTCAGTATTATTAATGCCAAACAAGAATAAAGAAGCACACCAACACTACCCCTCGTCCCCTAAGCTGTGCCATGGCTTGGTATTTCTAGAGAGGCTGACATTTCTACGGTGCTTCACAAACAGGAGATCAGATTTCAGCTTGACACCATCTGTGGTCACGACATCAACATCGGAAGTGCTTCAGTGGGAAGTCCCAAGGATGGACACCTGCAGCCTGCCAGCCCCAAGTGATCCTTCCAGGTCCATCATGGGTTGGATTTCTCCTGGAAGGAAGATGATTCCAAAGATCTGTGGTGGTCTTCATCTAAATAGTGGGGTTTTTTTCTCTTTGCCCTGTTATTTGAAGCAAGTCTGGCTCTGTCACATATCAGGGGCTTATCGGAGCTTACTCATTTTATTCAGTAAATTCTGTCAGAAATGCTTCAGCAGCTCCAGGTCTTAGAGAAAAGCTTGACATTTGATGGGTTTTTGTAGCAGTTCACTGGGCTGCAGCCACACACTCCCCACTGCCTTTCTCCCTCCTGGAGATGGGGCAGCCAAGCACAGCGATCTGGTTTATTAAAAACACAGGTGTCAGACCTGGGGCTGCCCCACAGTGCTGGGAAAGGTCACGTCCTGCAGACCTGCTCTTCCAGATCGTCAGGTTGCACTGCTGGTCACGAGGAGTGGAGCAGACCTGAAGATGGGAGGGGTTCAAGGGGAAAACAGCAGATTGGGACAAATTCTGTTCTCAGAGACCCTGCACGGGGTTTTCCTGGTGTTGGAGCAGGATACAGGATCCTGCAAAGTCTCTGCCACCCAGGAAGAAGCCAGGAGCAAAATGGGATGTAAATTCCTTTAAATGCTTATGCCAGAAAAGCCTCTGGCCATGGCTTGTCCCCCTGCTGTCAGGAATTAAGTTTGGCTGTTAATGCTTTCATAGAATCATGGAATGGTTTGAGTTGGAAGTCCCTGAAAAAGACTCCACTGAATACAAATGAATCCCCGTGTGATAAATAAACTCAAGTCTTCTTCCCTGTTGGCCACGTTGGTTTTTAATGTTTCAGGATTGTGGGGTGCTTCTCAGCAGGAGTTAAGCTGAAAGCTGATAAAACCCTGACATCTAAGGGCCAGATCTGCAGCAGTGGAAGCAGGCCCTTTTGACCTCAGGGGCCCTGAAATGCTGTGGTTCATGTGTCTCTGCATAATTAGTCATGGAACAATGATCTTCCTTACTCCTGTGGGGTTTAAGAAAGCCGTAATTCTGAAAAACAGCATCAGAAAATAAGAGAGTGGTAAGGACTGGGAGCACCCAAAAGCCACATCCGAGAGGAAAGTCTCAGCCTGGCTAAATGTAGCACAACAGATCAGGTCTGGTCTCCTCAGCAGTCACAGACACATGGTGTTCACCTTCACCATGGAGAGCAGTAAATCCAGCTGCTCCCCTTTTGTCCTGGTCCCCCATCATTGCCATTGGCTATTTCATAGGGAGATTGGTTGGGCCACCGCAGGACAACTGGGCTGGGAAGAGCTCTGTGGTCCTGGAGCAGGAACTGGTGGCTTTTCTTAGCCCCAGGTGACAAAATTCTCCCTCCAGCAGTCTCCTGGGACTATTCCCTTACTTCCAATGATGTTTGCCCACCTCTCCTGGAGACACATCCACAAAAGCACAAAGTGAAGCTCAGTTTCAACTCTTAATTCTGCAT